TGTCGGTGACCCGCCACCTCTCGCCATTATCAGGGAACCCCAACTGGCTACCATCGACAATATCAACTATCGACCACCTCCCTCTTCAAACGTTAACACTACATACATTTTATTTCTAGCTAAAGAAATAACTTAAGCTCAAACATTTCTTTTACGCTCATCTAAACAACTCCAAATTTATTCTTTTTACACTATTACTTTTGAAGTAACTTAAGCTCAAACATTTCTTTTACGCTCATCTAAACAACTCCAAATTTATTCTTTTTACACTTTTTTTTTTTTTCATTTCTTATGTTCCGACTAACGGTATATCTAAAATAATTTAATTTTAGACGTCTCTTAAAAATTATTAAACGAAATAACATAATTTAAATGTTACTCTCATTTGCATTTAAAATGTAACATTTAATAATTATTGTATAATATTAAAAAAAAAAAAAAACTTATATAATACTGAATGTTTTGTACCATCATATATAAATTTTAGAAGATGGGGCATATTGAAAAATAAAAACAAGAATAAGTGAAGAGATTTATTAATTTGAATCATAAAATAAAATTTCTAAAGTTTAAGAGCTCGTTATGTACCGTTGAGAAGTCTGCATTTTGGATAGAATAAATATGTACATCTCATCCATCACATGATATTTTGATCTAACTGTCTTTTTATATTTAAGATTTTGTTTGGAATAATTTTTTTAATGCATTTTAAAATAGTTTTTTTTGTTGTATTTTAAAATAAATTTTTAGTACAAAATTTATTAAATGTAGAATTTTATATCAAAAAAATATTTTAGGAAGCAGTATAAAAGCTGTCTCAAATGGAGACTACGACTTCGTTTCGGATAACTTTCTTCTTGCTTTCTGAAGAAGCTTTCTTGTAATTTTTTTTTTTTTTTGAATTTAAATTTTTTGGCCTAAAAATTCATTTTAAAAAAGTAGTATGAAAGCTGTCCAAAATGAAACTTAAGACTGCAATTGGGGTGGCTTTCTTACTGCTTCGTAAAGCAGCTTTTTATTACAAAAAATTAAAAATTTTATACTAAAAAATTGCTTTAAGAAGCAGTAAGAAAAACCGTCCCAAACGAAACCTAAGTGAGGTTCATTAATCAATTTATTGATTTGATTTGTAAGTCAAACTTAGCAAAAATTTAAAACTAATATCTTTAAAATTATGAAATTTTAATATTTTATAATAATAGTAATATATATATATATATATATATATATATATATACAAAATTATCTTGATCGGGCACGAATCTCAAGGCAAAATCAAGCTGGGAATTTCAAAAATTAAATCTGGGATCACCTAAACTCTGATTTTAGCAAACTTATAGTCAAACAAAGCGTCTCGGAAATACAAACCCAACGACACTAAATTCGACTCAATCCGAGCCCAAAAGAGTCCAAATCAAGGATCCGAAGCGCTGTTAGAAGGTTCAAACCACAATTTGGTTTACCAAACGGTTTACCAAACATAACGTGCTTATAGTCAAAATGAGTGGCTCGACGTAAAGAATGCAACAAGCCAAAGATCACTAAATTCCAACATCATTAAGACCTTCAAATATCTGACAAATGGTCCACAATCAAGGGATTCAATATCGGCCGTCCGTTCAAACCACTCCTGATTTGCCCCTGATCTCTCACCTATTTACAGGCAATGCTGCTCCATAAATCTATAAATAGGTATCTCATTTCTCTTGGGGGGGAGCAAGGAGAAGAAAGAAGAAGAAAAGATTAGGAAGGAAGAAACTCCTCGACCACCGTCGGGATTCTGCCCGACTTCCACGGGACGCCGGAATTCTACCCGACTTCCAAGTGATGACAGAATTCCACCTAACTTTCAAGTGACGCTGGAATTCTGCCCGACAATTCCAAATGATGCTGGAATTCTGCCTAACTTTCCAAGTGACGCCGAAATTCCGCCCGACCTCCAAGGGATGATGGAATTCTGCCCGACCTCCAGGTGACGCCGGAGTTTCACCTGAACTTCAATTGACACCAGAGTTCTGCCCAAATACCATCTAACGCTGGAGTTCTCCTCGGCCGCCAACTGACGTCGGACTCCTACCAGATGCTGGACCTCTACTCGTCGCCAAATTTCTACCCGACGCTGAACTTCTGCCTGTTGTCAGACTTTCACCGGACATCTATCCAATGTTGGATTTCTGTCCATTGTTAGATGTCTACTTGACGCCATCCTACTGATCTTCGTCGTTAGACTACAGTCCATTCGACCTCTGTCGCCCGCTGACTACAGTCCTTCCGACCTTTGTCGCCTTCCGACCTCTGTCGCCCGCCGACTACATTTCTTCTGACTTACGTCCCCCACCGACTACGGTCCTTCAAATCAAACAAACACATCACCAGTGATTCTTTGTAATCACACCATGTAATGCACTCTATATGATATACATCAAGCCAAAGCCTTCCCCCATAGGAAGGGTCTCATTTGTAATCAACTGCAAATACTAGTGGATTCATTCAAACTGGGCTAGGCCCCATGATTTTTTCCCTTTTTAGGGGTTTTCCACATAAAATTCTTGGTGTCTATAGTGGATGATGCACCCTCTCTCTTTATCTGTATATGTGTTTGATCTTCGTACAATACTAAGACGATTTGGGATGAATTTGGAGTGCTTCATAAGACGACCTATATTAATTTCTTGATCATAGAGTATTCATTCAACATAAGTAACTTAATGATATCAGAATTAGATGATCTTGCCTTCGTTGGATTTGTCTCGTCGAGTCGCTTGATTTTAACTATAAGCATGTCATATTTATAAGAGATCATTAGATCGTCCAATTATTGTCTTGATGTTTTTAAAAAATGCTTCAGGTAATTGTTTTGGGCCCATTTTAGCTCAGATTAGATAAAATTGGTGTAGTTGAGTTCGTATCGTCAAGATGTTTAATTTGATCATAAATTTACTGAAATTAAAATTAAGATGAACTCAAATTTAATCCAGAGAAAGTTTTTATCTTAAATATACCAAAAGATAAGTTTAGAATTTGTTGGACTTGATTTTTCAGGCTGAAGTACTGAGCATGACAAACAATCTTTAAATAATTGCGTTACGGATGCAAAAGTCAGAGGCAGTTTTATTATTAGCAAGGCACGCAAGTCAAACACTCAACCCAGAATTATAATTAATCTGTTCTTTAAAGCAAGGGCAATTAAGTCAAATCAACTAAAAGGAAGTCTGGTAACCGCTCCAGCCTTCCCAGCTGCGGTGCCTACATCCTCGACCAGCAGCTTTCAAATAGTCCATAGCTCCATACGTTCTTGTCCAAGTCCACATCCCGAGGGGTAACATCACCACTCCCACCTTACCAATGTGGATTTTAAGATAAACCACTTTCTCTTAAATTAGAGGATTAGTTTTACTTAATGTTGCTTATTGATAAAATATTTCATCAAAACTCAAAAAATAGCGAGAATTAAATGCAGCTCAAATGTGCAACAAACTTTTGAGTTATGGTTGAAGAATCTCTCCTTCTCCACAAACAAAACTCCAATTAAACATTTCTGTAAATTTTGCTTATCATATTTTAGATATATTTGGTGTAGCTCATTTTGGGTTTTGTTTGGGACGGCTTTCTTACTGCTTCTTACATTAGTTTATTTGTACAAAAAAAATTTAAGAAGCAATAAGAAAGCCGTCTCAAATGAAGTCGTAGGATTTGTTTGGAACGGTTTTTTATTGCTTTCTAAAGCATCTTTCTAGCACAAACAGTGGCAGAGTCAGAAATTTTATTCGGGGGGCTCCTTAATTAACCACTATAGGAAAATCAGATCCATTACAGGAAAAATTTTTTGCGGTTAATTTTCCGGCGATTTTCTAACGATCAAATTACTGGAGCCAAGAGGATCTGTATATTCAAAATTAAGGATGCAAATAACATGGCGAGAGAAGAGTGAAAGAGAAAATGAAAGCTGTGCTCGAGATTGCGAGTTGTAAGAGAGGAGCAAAAGGGAAAATGAAACAGGCAGTTTGGGTTGAGGGAAAGAAAGCATTTGGGAGCGGTCTCTGTTTGGCCATGTGATATGATATTATTGCCAGATTAAAAATTTTTATAAGAAAATTATTATGAAAATTAGTAAGAAAACTATTCTGAAGAAAGCCTAAAACATGTTCTTGCATGTTAAATCATGGAATTGTTAGGTTTTATTTTTTATAAAAATAATTGTAATTTTTTTATGTAAACTGATCCTCCATACTTAAATTTGTTTTAAAATGAGTGCAAAACATAAAAAAATTAATTAAAATATATATTACACATATATCAAAATAAATACAATACTTTTAAGATCTATTTTGACCAAAAAATAATTGATCAATAAATTCTATAACCATTTTTTATGAATATAATACATGTAATAAAAATGGTGATTGAATAATTATACCTCATTCTCTTATTTTTCTTATAAAAAATTTGCATTGTAAGATAGGGTCATGATAGAGTACATGTAATAATTGTTTTTTTAGAGGGGCACGTTCTTAATAATTGTTTTTTTAATTTTTGTATTAGAAAGCTGCTCTAAGAAGCAGTAAAAAAGCCATCCAAAATGAAGCCTTAGTCTCTTAGTTGGGAGCATTAACTATTTTGAGTTTTTGGATTCAAAGCTTATATATGTGATGTGTATGTGAATTTATCTTGATGACCCAAATGTCCATTAAATTTTTTTTTTTGGTGCAGCTATATTTTTCACTAAGCTTAGTTTTAGAGAAATTAGAAAGAAAAATGATTTTTTAAAAGAATTATTATGAATATTATAGCATATTTAGTGTTAAAAAACTACTTTTTATCACAAAAAATGTAAAAATAGTATAAATTTATAATCAAATAATGTAACAACTTGTTAGAAAGTAAAAAATTATGAAAAATCTGACCAAAGATTAATTAAGATATCTGTTCATAATCTAAATCAGTAATAAAAACTATATAACACAAGTCTCTAGATGAAATAAAGGGACGTAATAATAAAGTATTCCTATTTCTAAGAGCAATTCATATGGGATTTCTATCCCTTTTCCACCTTATCTTGGAACCGTTTCCATTCCCAGGTCTTCCTCTCCCAGCTTTCGGTGAGCAGAAGAAGGAAACGAACAGTTAACAAGGAGAAAAGCTTAAAAATTTCTTCATCGCTTTCTTTTTGTTGCAGAAAGTATTAATGGAGGAAATTCCAAGCCTGCTTAAAAGCAAGTTTGTTTAAGAAAGGGAAGAAGAAAATCGAGAGTTCTACATGGCGAAAGAGCAGCAGATATCATTTGGCACCAGCCAGTCTTCAGCTTCCATGCATGAAAACTACATGTAATTCTTCGAGTGATTAATCAAATTCAAAGATAGATCAAATACCATATGCTTCTGTTTCATTTTTTTTTTGAATTGTTTGGTGTCTGTGCTTATTTCTTTCTTGATTAGATTAAAAGGTAGGAGAGATAGCTTATTTGATGTGAATGATATTATATTGCATGCACGCAGAAGCAAGGAATCCGGTGGTGCCTATGAGTTAGGGGATTTTGATCAAGCTTTTTTTATGTACCTAGATGGGCAGGAGCACATATCAGCTCAAGAACAAAGAGGTGAGATTTTATCAATAACTTACATGATTTAATCTAGTTGAAGAAAAATAAAAGATTATCTTTCAAAAGTATATAGGACACTTTTTATGGTAAGATATCAATTCCATTCTCTGACCTTTTTTTTTGTGCTCAGAGTTTAACCACTTATTTTGCAACTTGGGTTTCAAGTTTTATTTTCAGAAAACAGATTTTTTTTTTCTACAATTTAGCTTTTTTTTGAAGTTTAAGATCTGTAGCAGCCTACTCATGATTTTCTTGCAAGTTCTTGTACCCTAATGATTTAATAATTATGAATTATTTAGTACAACCCCTCACCTTTTTTCCACCTTTTCCTTGAGCAGGTTTTCTTTCTCTATCTTCTTTCCCTTTCCAGATTACCTTATTATTTATAACAAATGCATGACAAGCTCTCTCTCTCTCTCTCTCTCTCTCTCTCTCTCTCTCTCTCTCTCTCTCTAGCTTTGATCATATAACTTTTCTGTGTGATGTTATTCATGAATGAGTGGCACCTTTAGGAGATTTAATGTTTGCAGGAATTCATGTATGCAGAAACTCTAAATATTTTCCCATCAGAGCCAATGCACGTAGAGCCATCTACCAAGGTAATATAAATAAATAACGAGAAAAAACTTTCTTTATCTTCCTCTTTCCCTTTAAATCTTAAGCCTCTGTTTGCTCTAGTCTTTCAATAATTTTTCCTTTTTCTTTTTATTCAAAAACATATTTATGCAGTTTGGTATGAGCTTAGGCGCTTCAACAGTAAAAAGTGCTTCAAAGAAATCAATAGAACAACCCATAGCTACAAGCAACGGTAAAAATACCTCTGCTGTTCATCCTCAAAATACAACCAAGAGTGATAAATTACCAGTGAAGGTGAGAAGTTAATTGACAATTTATAATTAATTCTATTTTTTTTTTCTCCTAATTTAATCTGTTTTTTTTTAATATGTTCTTCTTTGACAGAAAGAAGGAAGCAGAAAGGCTACAACATCAAGCTCAGATCATGAAGGACCCAAAACACCAGATGCAAAGGTTTATATAATTAAGTTCATTTAATTTGAATGAAAATGGATACATTTCATGAAACCTCCAAGTATTTACTTATTCATTCATTTAAGAAACCTGAAGCTCCTCCCCCTTATCATTCTGACCAGACATTACGAAGGCTTGCTCAAAATAGAGAGGCAGCAAGGAAGAGCAGACTTAGAAAGAAGGTATATGTTCTAGCAAAAAAAAAAAAAAAACTAGGTTCATTATATAAATCTGGAGCTCTGAAATATTTCTAAATACGATACTATATTTATTTTGTAAAATATAATATTTTAACTTGTAAATATTTTTTTTTTGATGTGTTGCCTTGCAGATTAAATAGGGATGACTTATGAAATATCTTCTAATTCATGAAAAATTTTCTTAAATCCTAAGCTAAAACTTATTTGATCTTTTTCCTGTATTATTCTATGTATCCTAACTTTTATATATTAAAAAAATCATTTTGAGCTTCAATTTTCTTATGCTTTGAATTCTGATAACCATTTTTGACAATAGGCGTATGTTCAACAACTAGAGTCGTGTAAGATGAAGCTTAATCAGCTAGAACAGGAGATTCAAAGGGCAAGAACACAGGTAATTTTTTGAAGCAGAAAAATAGCCTTCTCATCCATCAAGTCTTTAGATTTTTCACATCTTCTTCGCACATTATCATAAAATGATAAAACTTTTGCTGCTCCATCTCTCTTTGTATAATAATCTGGGCATCATCAAAGTATCTCTATCTCTTCTCTGTATTCAATTCTAGAGTTTTAGACAATCTCAAAAGGATCAAATAATCAATTCTCTTGTTGGTTTTGTTCTTAACTAGGGCGTCCTTCTTGGGGGTGGCATATTAGGAGAACAAGGCTTACCCTCAAGCTCCGATGGCCTCAGCTCAGGCACTTAACTATACTTCCTCTTCCTCCTCCTCGCTGTCCACTTTGATACAGTTACTTATAACTGTCTTGCAATACTTCACGTAAATTAATATAGGTGCTGCTGTGTTCGACCTTGAGTACGCAAGGTGGCTGGAAGAGCACCACCGCCTCATGATGGAATTGCGGGCGGCGATGCAGGAACGGCTGCCGGAAAACGATCTTCATATATTCGTCGGCAGCTCTCTCGCCCATTATAACACTTTGATGAATTTGAAGAGTATGGCTATCAAGGCCGATGTCTTTCATATCATCTCGGGAATGTGGAAGACGCCTGCGGAGCGCTGTTTTCTTTGGATGGGAGGATTCTGCCCTTCTGAGATCATTAAGGTTTGTACCATTGAACCCTCATTGGTTTGATATTGCGGGGTGATTATATCAATATTATGTTGTGATGAAATTTATTTAATTGATTAAATTAGATGCAATTAAAGAATAATATATTACTTTAAATTTGATAAAAAAAATTTAAATTTTTCTTGAAAATAATAATTTTATTTTTACACTCGGAATAAGCGAAAATAAAATAATTTCTATGATAATAAATTTTCAATCCATAAATAATCATATCAAATGAGTTCATACGGATATAATAAATCTTAATTTTCATTTTATATTATTAGACTAATTAGTGATTAGGCATGTCTCACTTTTTAATCCTTTTTAAGAAGAATAATAATATTATATATTTCTCGATTATATTTTAGATATATATTTAGTCATACGTTCAATTTAGGCACCATTTCTCTTGATCTCCCCTCACATCATTCATGCCACTTTCATGAACTCTCACACCATAAATTTAGCATGTCTTTTATTAAGAAAAATGCATGTTGTTAATTTGCCTTATTTTTCATTTACATAAATAATTTTTTAATAATATTTATCAAGTGCCTCTTCGCAAATTATGAGCACATGTTGATTCAATATTATGCATAAAATATTCTACTCCATTTAGGCCAATAATTTATCCTTTTTTTTAAAAAAAAAATTCTACATCAAAATGTGGACAATTTTTTAACTTCAATTTTTATCTCTTTAGATTTGAAAAAAGATTGGGACTATTGTTCAAAGTGATGGTGAAAGAGATGGAGATGTTAATATTAATAGAATTCAAGTTGGTTGGATGAAGTGGAGTAGTGCATCGGGCTTTTTATGTGATAGAAAAGTACCACTTAAACTTATGGGAAAATTCTATATGATGGTGGTTAGACATGCAATACTTTACGGCGTAGAATTTTGGCCATTAAATGAGAAGTATAATATTAAATTAAGTAGTGTTGCAGAGATGAGGATGCTCAGGTGGATGAGTGGCTTTACTCTTAGAGACAGGCTACGAAATGAGCATAAACGTGAAAAGGTTGGAGTAGCTCCAGGGCTTATAAGATTAGAGAAAGTCATCTCAGATGGTTTGGTCACATAAAACGACGGCCTTCTGATAACCCGGTTAGGAGATTAGATTTATTAGATTTAACCTATGTTAAGAAAGATAGAAGTAGACCTAAAACGACTTGTGGTTAAGAACTATTAAAAATGACCTTTCTTTACTAGATCTAAATTAGAATTTGACTCTTAACTGGCCGTAATAGAGAAAAATAATTCATATAGCCAACCCCCACGTAGTGGGATAAAGGCTTGATGTTGTTGTTGTTGTGGTGGTGGTAGATTTAAAAGATTACTTTCAATTTATTTCAAGCTATATACGTATACAAAATAAGATTTTGAATTGAAATGATCGCATAATGGACAAAAAACTTGTGTCTAGAGAGAAATCAACAAGTTGAAAGATAACAAGAGTTGTTAATTAGCTTTTTTATTGTCAATTCTAGAGAGGACCTATGGAGTGGTTTTATGCATTAATATCTTGATTAGTACATTGCTTGATTAATCACCTGTCGTTTTAGCAACTAGAAAGATTTGACTTAGTTCATCCCCACTTTCTACAGAAGTAGCAAGCCAAAACAATACAAGAGAATTTAGTGCACGTATGGGCAGAGGTTTTGATAGCTAAAATATGATAGGAGAGGCCATAACTTTCTTTCTTTTTTAATAAAGTAGCTTTGCTTGTGCATGCAATAGGAAAGCTGAATATTTACCATAAATCTGCACTGTTAAGCAGTCCAAGCATCTAATTAGTGGAAACATTAAAGAATTTTAAATTTTAATGCTGGTACAATTATTTATGGTTTTTTATGGTTTTTTAAAACCTAATTACTATTTGAACAAAAAAATGATTAGTGTTTGTTACGATAGAGTTTGATTTTGTACTACAACAAAAAGTTATCAAGATTTAGGATTTGTTTGGGACGGTTTTTTTCTTGCTTCTTAAAGCGGTTTTTTAGTACAAAAATTAAATTTTTTGTACTAAAAATCTGCTTTAAGAAGCAAGAAAAAAGCCGTCTCAAATGAAGGCTTCGTTTGTGACGGCTTTCTTCCTCCTCCTTAAATTGTCTTTCTAGTACAAAAATTAATTTTTTTGTACTAAAAAGATGTTTTAAAAAAGCCGTTCCAAACGAAGCCTTGGGACGACTTTTTAATTGCTTTCTAAAACGGAGTTTTAGTACAAACTTTTTTATTTTTGTACTAAAACTCCATTTTAGAAAGCAATAAAAAAGCCATCCCAAACGAAGCCTTAGTCTTTATTTGGGACAGCTATCTTATTGCTTCTTAAAGCAGCTTTAAAAAGTAGTGAAAAAGTCGTCCTAAATTAATTCCAGGTTAATTTCATTGTAAGTTGATCGTTATTTACAAGTTTTTTATTAAAGATATTTTTGGAGTTTTTAATTGTATTTCTACTATCCGAAATTTTCTTTTTATAAAGAGGGCCGATCATCTTATATTTATATTCATGAAATTACGATTACATGCAATTCTTCTCAATGAAACTATATTGAAATCGGCCATGACAATCAACATGACATTATCATCAATTTGATGAACTTGTATAAACTTCTAATTTATTTTAATAATTTGTTATTAAAACATTACTAAATGACTTCGTGTGTATTATTTTGCTCTTATTATTAGGTTATCTTGAGCCACATTGATCCCTTAACAGAGCTACAGCTACTGGGAATAAGCAAATTGCAACATTCTGCACAAGAGACTGAAGAGGCCCTCAGCCAAGGACTTGAAGCCCTCTATCAATCTCTGGCCGACACCATCGTCTCCAATAATTTTATCTTCACGTCGAATATGGCCAATTACATGGGTCAGATGGCCATAGCTATGAACAAGCTCTCCACACTTGAGAGCTTCGTTAGACAAGTAAGTTCTAATCTTTCAATAATCTCTCAATAAAATAAGAGTTTACAGAGAAAAACGACTTGCTTATTTTATATTCTCCTAAAACATACAGATAACTATGATAGAATAGTTGACTATAACTATTAAAATAGTTATCGCTAAAAATAAAAAACTGTAATAGATTAGTAATTATCTACCACACCAAAGTTGGCCAGCCCTTTGTATATTAGTTACTAAATACCAACTTCGCAATATACTAACAGCGCATATTTGTGCTTTCCATGTCCTCACATTCAGCTAATATGCCTATTCTAATTTAATACTAATCAATGTGCATCAGTCTTACATTGGGCATTTGTTGAATAAGGCTGCAAGATAGTAAAAGATTGAAATTTTATAGCTTTATTAGGTGAACAACTCATATTAATTTTCATAAATTTTGTTTGACTTTGGATAAAATGTAAATTGTTTAGCAATAGAGAACAAGTCAACTTATATTGGATAAAAAAATTAAAAAAAAGGTAAAAAGTTTTGATTAACATTCTGAAGATTGAAAAATTATTCTGTGCGGATATTGGATGCCGTTCGGAGAAAAATCATACCACGCCAAGTTACCCTTTTTGCTATGTACCACGGCTGTATACCTGTTGTGTACCGGATGACTTCGTCTCCGAACTGTCCGGTGTCTACACAGAATAATTTCTCCTGAAGAAGGCTGTATGCTTAATCATAACTCCATAATTTGAAAATAAAATTTTGATTCACTTATATTAATTTAAATATTTTGATGGGGCAGAAGATTTTATTTTTTTAGTCTATGTATTGTTTTATAACTAAGTATGGTATTTAGTAGAATATATATGTGCTTAGATATCATAAGTTCAATGTGTGATTACAGGCTGACAACTTAAGGCTGGAAACACTTCATCGGCTCTATGAAATATTAACGGTACGCCAGAGTGCAAAGTGCTTATTGGCCATTTCTGAATACTTTCATCGTCTCCGAGCTCTAAGTTCCCTTTGGCTTTCTCGCCCAAGGCATGAGTAATGCTTATATGAAATATGAAAGAAACAGAATTTAAGGAGAGTTATCACCATATAAAGTGGCTTCTTTTTTATCTGATTGGTATAGCTTTGCTTGTATTTTACTTAGATGCATAAATGCTAATAAAATCTTTAATAATACTTAAAGTTATCAGCTTCTCCTCAAAGTTCATGATGCAAAAATTAAGGGTTAAAGATGCACAAATATACAAACATTTTATCAATAAAAAATATAGATTACATTAATTCAGATCGATTTATTATAAAGAAGTTAATGATATTATTTTTAAAAGACCTTCTTTTTCATAGCTTCTGAAAGGAGTACATAATGGCTCCTACCCTAGGCAAATTATTGCATCCGGTCACCAGACTCGGAGATAGGTCCGGATATTAATAAAATATTATTTTAAATTAAGCGAAGGTAAAGCGTAGGTAAAGAGCAGGTAAAGTGCAGGTAAAACACATGTAAAACGCAGGTCAAAGCACAGTCAAAAACGCAGTCAAAGCGCAATTAAAGCGTAAGTCAAAAGCGTAGATGACGTGACGAATTTTTATTGGATGTCCGAACCTATTTTCCGTGTCCGGTGACCGGATGCATTAATTTGCCCCTACCATAACCTTTTGTATATTTTTAACAGTACTGTACTAATATATTTAGTCCTTATTTTCCAATAAAGTGTAATACGGCTATTTTTTAATGACAGAAAGTCCATTACAATCAATATTGATTTGAATAATATTTAAACAAAGATCAAAATGTATTCTAAGAAGGTCTGGGTGAATATTGAAACCTTGTTCGAATTGCGTTCAAACCAAATTCCTTGAAGGTTTGAATATGATTTTGACAAGGAAGAATTAATACGGTTTAAACAATAATCAAATAAAGGGAATAACACAATAGGTTATAAGATTGATATAACATAGTGAGTACAATTACAAAAATAAACTATAAGAAATATATGACAATATTCATAACACAGTAAAATGTAATTTAAGAGAGATTATACAACAGCAATTAAATAAAGTGCAGTTCAATTGTAAAATTTAAGACTTGTATGCAATTAAATATAACTTTTTGAAAAAATTTCTTAAATATTAGGTCATGAGATCACAAGTTTCAGCACTTGATATTAAGGTTCGACTAATTTAAAAACTCATTCATTTTCTTGTACCAATAGATTAATTTTAACTATGCCACAAACAACCCTCCTTGCTATTATTAATTTACACTACAAGAAAATGGCACATTACCGACGAATTTTTCCGGCGGCTTTCCGACAAATTTTCGGCTGCTTATGATGAAATATGCCCGATTTTTTTTTTTTTTTGGAAATTTTTTTTTTTTTTGGAAATTTTTTGGCAAAATTTCTAGCGGCCTTCCGGGTTGCTTTTCCTTATTATATTTTAAATTAAAAAAAATGTGATTGTTTTAGAACTTTTGCCCTTCTAAGAAACTAATTGGGGCTTTCACTACAGGAAATTCTTCAAATACTGGAGGCCTGTACCAGCAATTGTTTAGCCGCCGGTACTAACGGCGGTTTACCCAGCGGTTAGGCCGTCGGTTAATACCGGCGATAAAACCGGCCGTTTGGCAAGTTTTTGTCGCCGGAAATAGGAGCGGTCACAAAACCGCCGGCCCTTAAACTTACCGGCGCTATACCGGCGGCAAAAAACCGCCGGTGTTAAGTAATTTTAATACCGGCGGTTTGAACCGTCGGTAAAAGCTCTAAAATGAATCAGCCCGAGCCTCCCATTTCATTTCATCTCGTGCTCTCTCTCTCTCTTTGGCTGCGCTCGCCCCCTCTCCTCTGCCCGCCCTCTCCCGCAACCGAGAAAATTTAGGCCACCGATGAGCTGTTTCCGGCCACCGACGAGGTCCCTCTGGCCGTCGACGAACTCCCCACTACAAGGTCGAAGTTCTCTCCCAACTCCCATGCGCGACGCCGCCTCCAAGGTGAGTGTTTTTAATTTTTTTAAAAGTTTTTTGTTATTACAGTTGGTTTACATCAAGGAACCAGTCTAAGCCCATATCTTTTTGCTTTAGTCATGGATGTTCTCAGTAGACATTTGTTAGAGGATGTACCAGTCTAAGCCCATATCTTTTTACTTGTAGAGTAGTGTTAGTGTTGAATTGTTTGTATCATTCACTTGCATTAGTAAAATTTGGTTTTCTTTACTTACAATGTTATCCTTTGTTTTATGTTTCATTTTTTTTAATAAATTAAAAAGAAAAAATGGCTTATTTGAATTGTTTCACAATAATGTTTGCCATCATAAAAAATCAGGAGATCGATTGTTGCAAATCTTAACCCAAGCGCTAATATTTTGAGGATAACAAATATTATTTTTCCTTGACTATTACTATTAATGCATATCTATTTTATGTGCCTAGATCACTAGCCTTTTAGGTCCACAAGTTTTCTTTGAACATCAATCAGCTCAAGATCAGGTAGACTAGGATTGAGTTAGTCTACAATTTCTATTTCAATGTATCTTTTACCTTTTCTTGAGTCAAATGTATTTTAGGGGATCTTAAAGCTAAGTAACCTTACACACACACTTATGGGAAAAAATTTAGTGAGTTAGGTTTTTTTTTTTTTTAATTTTTGATCATATCATACGGTACAATTTGAAAATCATCCTGGATGATCCCTCAAAAATAGAAACCCTAATTAGAGCATTTGGGTCATGTTAACTTGCTTAAGCAAATCATCCTGAATGATACTCCCATCATCATGGAAATTATATAGGATGATCCCATATCGTCCAAGACGATTCATTACAATCATGCCTAAATTAGTCAGTTGATTAAGAAAATTAATTAAGGTTAGATTGATAGATCATATCATCCAGGACAATTACAAGACCATCTTGGATGATCTATAAGAGAAACCTTAGTCTTCTCCTGAATCACCTGAACGTGCCGAACTATCTACTGGATAATCAGTTATACTTCTTCATCGTCTAGATAATTTTCCTGGATGACTCAATCTATCTATTGCATGATAATAATTGGTTTTAAACTAATCATATAAGCAGATCCAAACATCATTCTGGACGATCAGTTATGTTTCTTCATCATCTAATATGTATCTCCTAGATGTCCTGAACTATCTACTAGACTATATATATGATTTTGAACTATTCGTATAAGATGATGTCTATATAGTCTTGGATGATCAGAATAAATTATGTCTTCTAATTATACATCACACCCATATCATCCTAGTTAGAAGGACTAAAATATACTAATCGTCCTGGATGATCTTTAAAGGCATGTTACAAATTAAGGCCATTTTTAAGGACTTATTTATAAGATCTCTTATTTGTTAATGAGAGTATCTTTTGCTATTGTCCTGACCTAAGAGATCTTAGAGAAGGAGAGGGAGAGCTTGGGATAAAGAAAGAGAATATTGTGAGGGGGAGTTTGTGAGGTGTTCATAAAGGTTTCTCCAAGCAAGGATTTGAGCCATCTTCTCCATTCATAATCCTTGGCTCCTTAGTAGCTCTAGGGAGTTCTTCGTAAGTATTAGATCAAGTTTCTCTGCCTACTTTAGGAGGAAGCAAAATGAGTCCAAGTTCTTTGCCTCACTGGGGTTGGTGAAAAGGAGTTTATAAAGCCTTCTCTACCTTGATATGGGCGCAAAAGGAGAGTAATTGTGTTTTAATGCAATATTTTGAGGAAAGGCTCTGGGTAGTGGATGTAGGTTAAGTTGACCGAACTACTATAAAATCTGGTGCATTCTTTCTATTTTATTCTTGCACTTTATTTTTATCATTTTAATTATTGTGGTTTATTGTGTTTGTTTTAAATTATTCAAAAAAAAAATAATAATAAAACTACCAATGCATCCCCGCCCATCCTCTTGGTTAGCCTAGAGCTAGTTCAAAAAGGCTTAACAATCCTAACAAACTTTTAGAGGTCATTTGGTAATCCAAATAAAAATTCTTAAATCATCTTCTAAATAAAAACATGAATGGAGATTTTAGGTTTCTTCTTTGTCCTTCCTCTTTAGTTGATAGTTGGTGATCTTTCTTAGTTTTATCTATATTTTTTAGAGTTTGAATCTTCTTTTCCCATTTTCTTTACTTTAGGGCTTCTTTCCCCTTATTTTTATATTCATTTTTACCTTTTTAATAATGGAGCCCCCACCTAACCCATCGGGTAAAATGATCACTAATTATTTTATCAAAAAAAAAAAAAGGTTTCTTAATTTTTTTTGGAATTGTTCCTAATTTTGTTTCTTGATCTCTTAAGGATGTTATCTCAGGGAATTCAACCTTGAATTCCCTAGTTATCTCTGTTAAGCAGTCATCCTTTAATGCGGCTCCTGCGATTTTTTATTCCTTATAAGGATGTGGTGAAGCTTGCTTCTCCTTTCCAATTCAATTTAATTGGTAAATTTTCTCTAAGGTGATCGAACTTGGATGCAATCTATATATTTTTTTGCTAATTTGAACCTATCTAGATTATTCTCCATTGATTTACTAGACCCTCATCATGTTTCGATTCAGTTTTCGAATGATCTGGATTATAGTCAAGTTTTTGCTAGATGCTCTTATAACATAAGTAATTGTCAAACACATTTGCTTAAATGAACTCCTTTCTTTTATATTAAAGAGGAGTCCCTTATCGTACCTATTTGGATTTCCTTTCCTCTTCTTCATTTACATTTATTTAATAATATTGTTCTTCATTGTTTGATCATCTACTTCAAATTAACCAATCTATTGCATCCAAAACTGGACCTTCAATGGCTCGTATTTTAGTAGAAGTGGATATATCTAAGAAACATCTAAGAGAAGTCTTGTTGGGATCTAAATCTCTTGGGTATATGCAACAAGTTGAATTTTAAAATGTTTATGATTTCTATATGCATTGCAAAATTCATGGTCACCATATGATTTTTTTTTTTTTTTGCATCGTACTTTAAAAAAAATTATCCTCAAGCTATTGAGGTGGAAGAGATTTAAGGTAGGACAGACTTCCAATCTGATGTTTATCATGGGGAAAAAATGTTAATGCCACTACCAACTTGAATCTGACCCCTCTTCCAGCTGATGTGTTAAAGGAAACATACATTGCTATTTTGCCTATTAATGTTAACAATGATTTGAATTTTACTCATAATATTGATTTGTTATATGAAGATTGAGCTGAACTTGAACTCATGGGATCTAACATCTAACTACAACATATTGATTATCTTGCATAAAAAATGGGAGATCCTACTGGATTTCAGGTTGATGAGTTTGGTAATTTAGATAATTTACAGGAACAAAAATTATCTTAGATAATATGCAATATGAATAAGGAGCTTTCTCAATTATCTAATTTTTTTGCAAGTATGGATCAAAATATCTTTTTGAATACTAAAATTGCTAGACCTTCTAATATTATGAGAATTAATACTAGTGAAGATGGTGAAATACTTCTTGATTCTTCTAATGTTGTTACTATTCATGATCTTAATGGTATTATTTATAGAACTCAGGTGAATGATTTTTAACTAATGTCTGTACGCCTGATAATAATGGGGACAATATGATGGACGACGAGGGTTTTACCAAGGTTCGTAGAAAGAAAAAAAATTGAAAAACATATTCATTTTATTTTTAATATTTAGGGTTATGCTCTATCATTCCATAGAGCCCTTATATGTAACTAAAAAATAGATTTACTATGAATTTTCATTGTTTTTTGTCTATTTAATGCATTTAAACATCCAACTAAGTAATGATCAGTGGCGGCATAAAGATTGGTTGTGGCGTTACCATGTATCGCTTATGTGTTGGCCTATTGAAATAGTGGTAATTAGTAGTTAAATAGGTATGCATAGTTCCACAATGCCAATCATGCATGGTTTTAATTTGATTGCTAAGATTTGGTCATATGAGTAATGGTCTATCCTGCGGTTCAAAATAGATAGATATGATGTTCTGTCTGAAAAAAACTTTGCCATGAGCACAAAATAGATGTTCCAAATTTAATCATCTTCCATAGGACATATTTTCTCAAGGAACTTTCTTTTGTCTATTATTGAGTATTTAATGAACCAAACATCACAAATCTTGTGAGATTAATTTAATAATTTAACCTTTCATTATATAAAGTTTGAGAGGTTTATATAGAAGATCATAGAAGTTATTTGAAATCCTAATTTTAAGATTAGAGAATGATATTTACCTTTATAGAAGTCTCAAAGGGATTTCTTGAGCTTGTTTTGTGTCTTTAGCTCCTTGGGAAAAACTTCTTTGAAGAAACCATATCTGGAGGATGTTTGGATTAGGAGTTAAAAATTCTTAAACGATGAAGCTTTAGGTCCCCCATAGATCTCCTCACTAGCGAGCTTCTAAGCCCTAAAAAAGAGTGGGAAAGGAAGGGATTCTTTAGAAGTGAAATGAAAGAAACAAGGTAGATCTTGGGAGGCTCCATACATGGATTATTTCTTTAATGAAGTTTCTAGGTTTACCCTCTTCCAAGCCATATAGGCTAATCCAAGGGCTGTGATGCTTAGAGCTTTTGCTTGGATGAATGCTAAGTGTCTTAGATAGTTAGGGAGCAAAAGAATTGCCTATAAATCTTAAAAGTGATGGGTTATCTTTTTACATGGAGGGGACTACTAGCTTGATTTAGGATAAACTAAGGGTTGAGGTAGTTTAAGATTGTTTAGGCATTTAATGGAAAAAATTTGTTTGATCAAAACTAGCTGGCAAAGTAAGCTTATGTGATTTTTCATGTGGATTTGACCTATTTGAAGAATATAAGTTTCTAGGCTTTGTTGACCAGTTAACCAATCAAAGATTACTAGATGGACTCCTTAGTGGCTATTTGGGTTTAATGCATTAGGCTTAGAGCTTAAATTTGGAAATTTATTTTTCATGAATTTATCCTATTTTAACTAGGTTGACCGATTCAACTTGATCAAAAAATTATTATTTTTTTTTTGGAAATTTTGGGGCCTAAGCCCATTCCAATGCTAAAAGAAATTTTGGAGCGAAAGTGAATTCTAAAAAGCACTAGTGTTTCGTGAGCTCCGCTAGGGTTTTCCCTTTTCCTACGTTGCTTCCACCGCCGCCTCCTCGGCCGGAGGCCTCCACCATGGCTGACCCCAGTTTTCCACCTCTCCCCTCTACATCCACTTCCTCCCCTCCGCCTTTACCCACTGTTCTTCCCCTCTGGAAGAATCTCATAACCACTACGCCTAAAATCTCCTCTGATTTTTCTCACTCCCTCTCCTTTGTCCCAACCCAAAATTTCACGGCCAACTGTACGGCTGATCAGTTCGTTGCTGGAGCCCCAGAATGGTCTCTCTCGTTGGTTGGCTACTCCATCGGGAAGCGGCCGTTCTACGAATCCCTTCTTACGACCATCACGAAGACCTGGCAGCTCAAAGGTGATATCTCTCTGCTCACCATGGATGAAGGCTTCTTCTTGCTCAAATTTACTGCCATCGAAGACTATGAACATGCATGGACTGGCGGCCCGTGGTTCTTTTTCGGCAAGCCATTCATTTTGCAGAAATGGAGTCCGGATTTTGTTCCCAAGCGTGAGGAATTTCCTTCTATTCCACTGTGGATTAAAATTATAAACTTGCCTCTATCACTCTGGACTCCGGAAGGTATTTCTAAACTTGCTAGTTGTGTCGGAATTCCTATCGCAGTTGATGCTCTAAGGACGGCTAAAACCCGTCTGACTTTTGCAAGAGTGTGTGCTCAAGTTACTAGCAACTCTCCGTTCCATGAGAAAATCTTCTATTGTGTTGATGGAAAATCTTCTCCTTTACGTGTCCAATACGACTGGAAGCCTGAGCGTTGTTCTCAGTGCGGCTCAATCATGCACCCTCCCACTCTTTGCCCCAAAGATCCTATCATAAAACCAACTGCCATCCTTAATCCCAGGGGTAGGAGTTCAAGTTGAAAGCTGCGACCCTCTCCTCCTCCTAGGCTGACAATTCCCAAGCATCCCCCCATTGCCAAAATTCTTCCTAACAGTGCCCTTAACACCCAAACACCAAATCTTACTCTAACCCAAACTCCTTCTGCTGGCCCTTCGATACCAAATCTCAACTCTCATTCTAGAGAGGTTCAGGACCCCACCGTCTTGCTTCCCTCATTACAAGGACCCCCACCAATAAACACTTCAAACAAGTTTCAAACTTAATTTGACCAAGATAAATCCGATGAAATGCTTCATCATGCTTCAACACATACTCATTCCCTAACTCCACCTAAAAACAATCCCCTAGTCAATACTACCCAAAACCAAAACAGCCCACCCCAGACTTCACCCCGTAATCATCAACCAAATATTCCCTCAATCTCAACTGAGACTTCCAGATCCACCTCAAACACTCCAAAAGCCCGAAACACTATCAATCAAAACCAAAAGCAAACTAGAGGCAAGCAATCCAAAAAGGCCTCTACACCCAACCACAAATAATAATGTCCTTACCCAACATTGCAGCTTGGAATATACGTGGGTTCAACAACCCGGACAAAGTGAACAACTGCAAACTCCTTGCCCGTACTCACAATCTTTACCTCCTCTTTATTTTGGAAGCCAAAATCTCTGCCCCCAATCTCTCTAACCCCTGGTTTCTAGCTCAGCACCAAAATTTTCCTTTGGAAGGAACCTGTGATAATTTTTTGTATTCCAACCCAGGTCGTATCTGGGTAAAATGGAATAAGAATGCCGTTAACTTTACTCCTCTTCGTATGACTAATCAACTCATTCATGGTTTTATTAGTACTTCTGCTAATACTGTTTGTGCCATTACTGCTATTTATGCGAGCAACTCTCACTCTGAGAGACAAACTTTATGGAGAAACTTGCAAGACATTGCTGGTACCATTAACACCCCTTGGGATGTTATTGGTGACTTTAACTGTTGCCGTAACTTGGGTGATAAAGCTGGAGGTGTGGCTCTTTCTGCCTCCAAACTGGGTGATTTCAATAGTATGGTTTTCAATACCGGGACCCAAGAACTTTCATCTGGTGGTCACTTCTACACTTGTTACAACCAACAACACTTCAATCCCATACACATTAAACTCGACCGGGTCCTTGTTAATGACCAATGGCTTGCCTCTTTTCCTAACTCTTTCTATAGAGTTGCCGATCCGGATTGCTCTGACCATACCCCTCTTATTCTGGTTAACTCCAATGATTACAGTCGTGGGCACCGCTTCCTTTACAAAAATTACTATGCCAGGATCCCAGAATTTTGGAGTTGTCTTGTGGAAGCCTTTTCTCTCCCCAATATGAGCATCCCATTAAGTTCCTTCAATTTCAAGCTTAAGACTCTCAAAAATATCATGAAGCAAAAGCATTGGTCTAATGCCAATCATTACCAAGATGAGATCGATTCTCTTAAAGCTCTTCAACACTCTGTGAATACTCAGCTTCAACTTGACCCTTTAAATCTTCAGCTCAATGGCAGTCTTAACTTTATCAACAACAAGCTAGCTATTTCCCATGCAAATTTAACCTCTTGGATCACCCAACGTGCTAAGGTGAAATGGCTCACTCATGGGGAAGACGATCTGAAGTTCCTTTACTCGAAAATTAATATCTCCAAAAACTACAATCAGATCAAGCAAATCACCAACGAGCATGGGACCTTCTATACTCAACCTGAGATTGCCAATGTCTTCATCAATCACTACAAAAATCTTTTCAATTCTCCCAGTGTTAGTGACTTGGATCACTCTACCTTTGATTTCCCTCCTGGGAACATCATCCCCAATCATCTGATTTCTTCTCTGATTGTTCCGATTTCTAATGATGAAATCAAGAGTATTGTGTTTGCTGGAAACTCCATTTCTGCACCAGGACCTGATGGATTTACTTTTGACTTTTATAGAGCCACTTGGGTGGTCATTCAAAATCAACTTTGCAGAGCAGTGACTTCCTTCTTTAACACTGGGTTTATGCCGAATCAAATCAAAGCCACTGCCATTGCTCTTATCCCTAAGCACCCCCATGCTAGCAATGTTAAAGATTTCAGACCTATTGCTCTCTGCAATGTCATCTACAAGATCATTGCCAAAATTTTAGCTAATAGAATGAAAGAGGTCTTGCCATTTATTATTCATCCTAGCCAAAGTGGATTTATTCACAAGAGAATTATCTTCGATAACATTCTCTTAGCTTCTGATATTCTTGGCTCTTTTAATCTCAGTGCTAAGAACAATTACTTTTGTGCTTAATATGACATTACTAAAGCCTTTGACATGGTTTCGAGAGATTTCCTCTATAGTAGGCTGGAAGCTAAAGGTTTTCCTAACTTATTCATTTCTTGGATCAAGGCGTGTACCACTGATGTTCACTTCTCTATTTGTATTAATGGGGTGCTCGAAGGTTATTTCAACTCTACCAATGGCATTAGGCAAGGATGCCCCCTATCCCCTTACCTCTTTAGTATTATCATGGATGGTTTATCTGCTAAATTGGATTTGGCCTCTTCCAACAAACTTTACAAAGGTATTTCTGCTGGGGATTGTGAGGTCTCCCACCTCATGTTTGCTGATGACTTACTGATCTTTGGATCTGCTTCCATTTCAAATGCTGTCACTCTTAACACTACTCTTATGGAGTTTGCGGCAGTCTCTGGTCTGAGTGTGAATCCACTAAAAAGCTCTATCCTAATTTCAAAAAATTCTCATGTTGCTGGGGAGATTTGTAATATCTTGAAAATTTAAGAGTCACAATCCCCTATTAAATACTTGGGCTTGCCTATTTTTTATAAAAAGCTGAAAACGATTGACTTTCAGCCCTTGATCCAAAAAATTACATCTCTATTAGAGGGTTGGAAAGCCAAAACTCTTTCTTTTCCTGGGAGAATACAATTTATAAAATATACTATTAGCAACACCCTTGCCTACTGGATTCCTGGCTCCATTATACCCAAGGGTTGCCGTAAACTGCTTGCTAGGCTTTGTGCTAGATTCACCTTCTTTGGAAACATAAATCAGAGAAAGCTGGCTACTGTTTCCTGGAAAGTTACTTGCTATCCTAAGATTTATGGGGGTCTGGGTATTCCCTCGATTGACTCTCTCTACCACAGCTATGCCTGCACTACTATTTGGAGGTTCTTAAACTCTAATTCTCTTCTTTTTTCTTGGTGGAGAGCTAAATATAGATCTTTGTGGAATCATTTGTCGATCAAAAAATCTCTTTACTGGGAGCTAATGTGCAAGAAAGCTATTGAGATTAAAGACTGTATCATTTTCTCTGTAAATGCTAGCAGTAACTTATCTGCCATTTGGGATCCCTGGTGCGGGGGTCATTCCATTGCTGAATATCTTGAAAATTTCAACCCCATTTCCTACTATTCTCATCTGTTTCACTGGAAAGTCTCGCAACTTATTCAGAATGGCAATTGGCACATTCCCAACTATATTGACCGCCATATTGCCACCATTATTAATTTGGTTAGCATCGACTCTACGCAGGAAAATCATTTCTGGAAGGATACTCAATACCCAAAATTTGTTGATTTTAACATGCAGTTATTTATTGGCAAGCATAAAGTTCCTTGGTTCAATTTCATCTGGCATAAAAAGGCAGCTATTCGTTACTCTGCTTACGCTTGGCTGGCCTTTAGGGGCGGGTTAAAAACTGCTGATATGCTTGCTGCCCGTGGTATCATTGTACCTAATAGATGTTGTTTCTGCAATGTAGACCTCGAAACTATTACTCATCTATTTTTTGAATGCAGCTATACCTTTAATATTGCTAAATCTCTGCTTCCTTGGCTGCATAATCTTTTTATGAGACCTAACATTTACCAGTTATATGATAGTATTTTGGAGCAAGGTTTTAAGTCTAATACCAGAAATTACTATCTCCTCACTGCTTCTACTATGATCTACTTTATTTGGAGAGCGAGAAATGATAGGTTATTTGGTGGTAATGTGGATTGCAATGTCACGATTTCTGCTAAAATGCGGAAAGCTGTTATGTTTAAAACACATGACTGGATGACTGCTGAATTTTTTCAGCCGCACCTTCGATGGTCCCTGCGGCAACCAGGGGCAATGCTCACGTACAGACCAATTCGTTTTTGACCCTTCGAGCATTGAGCTTATTCTGAGTCCTTGCCTTTTGGCTTACTTTTTTGATCCTTTTGATTTGTATTTTCCTTTTTTAGAATCCATGATCTCATTTTGTTGTTTGAGATTTTGGATTATAGCTTTTGCTTTCAAAAAATTATTTTGTTCTCTCTGACTCTCGGTATGTTTAAAAAGCCATCTCTCTCTAGCATCTCTTTGCTGTGATGCGCAAAAAGCTAAAAAAAATGTTAAGAAAATAATATTTGCTCTTTCTATCTCCTATTTTTATTTTTATATCATTTTTTTTTCAAAAAATTGATTAGTTCGATGTTTTAAAAAAAATGGTAAATTAAATTAATTTTTTTTAGAACTAAGTAATACGATTTTGTTTGATTTTAAATAATTTTGATATTTAAAAAAAAAATTCATATATTTTGTGTTTATTTATTTTCACTCGAGTAAATTTTAATTTTTTATATGAACTAGTTTTTTAATTTATCTGATCATTCTCCGATGAGCATATTATATTTATTTAATCTCTAATCTATTTGAAATTTTTTAGAGAAGAGGGTTTTAAAAATTAAAATTTTGTATATTTTCGAGAGGACGATCAAAATTTTCGATTCAGAGAATGTAAAATATTTGCACATAAATTACAATATATTTATTAAAAATATTTTGTTATGTTGTTCAAATATGTTTATTCACTTTTAATTAATAATGTATCAACATGTTTTTTGAAATAGATATGAAGAGATACTTTAAAACAAAGGTTAAGTTCTTGAGAAAAATGTCTATTGTGTTCATACTAATACACATTTTAAATTTCTTAGTGTAGAAAATTTTGATGATTTATCGGTTGAT